GTGTGCGCAAACAAAGCAGAAACTCCGGCAATTGGCTGATACACCCCTACATCTGGGTCCCCATCACTCCTGTCAACCTCCTTCCCGCTCAGCTCAACTCTCACCATTGGCCTGGCGAGTACACCAAATACCTTCACCCTGCCACCCCAATCCCATTTTCCCTCTCTTCTCGCATGTTGTCACTCTCGCTTCAAAACTGCGGATCAACGAGCGGGTATAAGCGGCTGCTATTACTGCAAGCTCCCCCGACAGGCACCGGGGCAGAGAGCCCCGAAGTGAGGAGTCCCAACATATTGCAAACGGGCCCCGCACAACGATCCCCGCCCCCCCTCCCCCGATCACATACTCACCAACCCACGTCTCTCAATTTTCATCTTCAAGCTTCGAACAGTGGTTTCCATACTCTGAAAAGCACGCGGGAAGTACTCTAATAGAGCCTCAAAGCAGCATCTCAGCTTGCTTTTCACAGAGACAGCTAGAGGTCTTTCTGCCCATTGCGACGTTTAGCGAACAGACATTGAGAAGCATCGCAGTATTACAAAGCATGGACCACAGACGCTACGATGAGGCTCCAGATGTTATCAGGCATCAGCCACCGATGGTATAGCACTTCAGCCGGAGTAAAACTACTGTTTGAAAGCTAACTATTCTCCGATAGGCAATTGATACTGCCCTTCGATCACATTGTGGCATCTGGGCCAAGCAATATTTCGTTGCCGTTATCATGGACGACGGCACACCTACGACATTCTTCAGCCCAGGCCCGAAATTCCATGATAGCGTCGTCCGCCAATTTTTTGACGCCAAGAAGTTTCAGCAGGTGGCAGGCCAGTTTGACTCTGGTGAGTATCTTATGATCTCCCTTGCGTACTATTCATGTGGCTTCTGACGCCCTACACTGCAGATCAGATAGGAACCGAATCTAATGGCCCGGATGAAACGGATGAAAGCATATATTTCCGACCGGTATTTGGCAACAGATACCAAACCCTTGACCGACTGCTTCTACCGAGTAACAGCGATGGCGACGAAGGAGCCGGTTACTTACCGCGGTTAGGGCGAAAGCGCCCGAGAGCACGTCATACAGTCGAAGACGAGGACCTAACGGTGCCAATCCTGTTGCATAGGGGAATACGAGTGAGCGACGCGAGGGCTCTTTGGAGTTTCTACGACCAGCGCTTCGAGAGTTGCCAGCAGTCTGCATGTAAGCTCATCGCGAAAGCCTGGGTCAAAGCAGTGGAACCTAAGAAGCAGTCAACACACCCTTACACTGGCAGTGATGCCAAAGCTCCTGACTGGTGGCCGAAGCCTTGGGGTCCGACTAAGGAGAATAGAGTCAGACACAAGGAGCCTGACCATTTATACAAAAGAGGTACGTGAGAACCAGCATCAAATCTGCTGTGTGGCTATACTGAGAAGACACAAGAACGTGTTCATCTACTGAATCATATCCTGGCCATGATTGTGGAGCCCATCGCAAAGCAGCATCCCAACGTGCGAAAACTGCATCTCAACCTAAAGAAGCTGGAAGAGTGCACTAATGAAGCTCTCTCCGGGTTCTTTGGAGAAACTCCACAAAATGCTAGCAAGAAGCTGTTTCTCAACGAAATCTTCAAGGTGGCTAGGCAACAGGACCTTTTCAAGAATGGCGAGATTGGTAAGAACCTCATGAATCCATTCACGGAGCATACGTCTCTAACATGTCCCGCCCCCCTTTTTTGCAGATGCTGCCACAGAACTATATATATTGAACGATGAAAGAATGGTGGATAATCTCTCTCCAGACAACAACGAGGGGCCCTTTGGTCACCATCACGATGACCAAAACATGTCGCCATCGACACGTTCTAACATTACCCACAGCTTTCACCAAACGCCGTCCTCTAAACACAGCCCAGCAATAATATCTCAAGCGGGTTCATTCATGAACAAACCCCCAATGCGGAACTCCCAACAGCTCCCTCCTCGGTGGTCTATGATCAATGACCTTAGCGCTCCACAGCAACCTGATTTAGTCGAAGATAGCTTGCCAGTTAATAGTACCAACTCTGTACACACCCCAAGTACGAGTATCGGTGTTGATATAATGCCTAGCGCTAACGGATCAAGTCGTCGATCGTCGGTGCTTCCAAAGTATAGTCATGTGGTTGGAAATGGGATGTATACACAGCATGGGCAGCCTGGAAGCGCAGCACCCAACGCTCAGGCGAATTATTCCAATAAACAGAATGGGCTGACACAGTCCTTTGTTACTACTGTTCCAGCAACCCCCCCTCAATCTTACATGGGCAACTCCTCTGTTGATACAATGACGAGACCCGGCTACGATCCTTATCATGGTCATGTATACCACGCTGGAGATGTTACTTCTGGACAAGTGGGCCAGCAGAGTAACTACAACTCCATTTCTAGCGACGGGCGAGGGCTTCAGACACCGCCAGATGTGTCTAAAGTAATCGACTCAGTGCCACGGGGTCATATGGAATAAGTCCCGGGCTTTTGTGATGTCCCCTTTCCTAGTTCTCTCTCGCCAATAGAGTGGAGCCATTCTGTCGCTACTTCGAAACCCTCATTGGAACGACTTGTTTTTTCATTCTCTTCATCAATTATAATTAATGTCGGATCGCTCACTTCCATATACGACCCCGTTTCTATGAATATCTCTCGGGTGAGATTTTATCTAAGACAAAATTGGGAGGCGTACTCACTTCTCACGCTTGACACCCCGAATGGCTTGTTTTTCGAATACGCTCTTAGCTGCGGTTTGTTGGGTTGCGTTTTATCGGTGAAAGTTCTTGGTTCCCTCCACCATTGTCCTGCCTTTCTTTTCTTGTCCTCATTGGCGAAATGTTTATCAACGGCAAGCTGCACTATATAGTTGACTAGTTGGCGACTCTAGAGCCAGCAAGGAATTTAGAACACATGAAGAAGTTGATTGAAGAATATAAACAGCATCAAAAGATACCTCGGGTTAAAGAGCAGCTATGGGAAAAGTGGACAAGGTGGGATCGGGTAGAGTAAGGGGCCGTAGAGGTCGCCAGCCTAATCTGTAGGTTACAGACTACTTGACTATTAATACTACATATTCAATGAAGGGCACGTTACTCGAGGCGCGAAGTTATTTGGTGGTTTCCTGTTTCTAAAATTTGCTGCGTATCTATGAGTATTGTGATTGGTGAGAAAATTGGAGTCTGGTTTTCTCCACGTGACTTTCTGCCAGTTTGCCACTAGTTCGCCTGTTCGCCATCGAAATAATCTTTGGTGGGCAAATGTCTAGCGATTGGAAGCCACCTCACAAATCTAGCACGATAAGTCGGATGCCAGCTGAGGAGCTGTTCCAGAGACTGAGCGCAAACCGCGATACGTGACTCATGCTACAGAGTTGGAAGGATTTCATACGTTCCACCATCCAGACCTCGCTCTTGGTATTTGCTGGCGTCATAGGGTGAACAGATGGAAGGCATATCTAAAAGAGCGTAGGTGCTTCACATCAATCTGCATTAGCCTATGTCGATATGAAAAGCATTGATACTAAATCTGTGACTCCCATGCAGCGTCGCCTCATCCAAGCTCCTCCGATTCCTGATTGGCCCAGAGAATCGAGAGTTTACAATCCACGCTGCCCTCGTCGCTCATCATTCACCTGTTCTGGGGGCAATGGTAAACAGCAATCTCAAAGAATCAATTGATTACATTGCGAAATGGGACGACATTGATGAGGGGGTGGTTGTCAGTTTTTGGTAGTTCGTGTAGGGCTCTACCCGCTTATCAAATCTAACCGGAGAAGCCCGAGAGATCAAATGGAGGTAGCACATAAAGCTTCTTCTCATCCAGATCCTCATTACCGATACAGCCATGCTTATGGAAGGAGGCAAGCATGACCAAACCAGATCTCGGCTTCCATTGCCCTCCCTCGATAGACTTGATCACTTCCTTCACAGAAAGCGGCAAGAACCTACCGATGGCCTTTTCCTCCTTGTTCGGTGTGGGCGTGAGATCTTTCTCAAGTTTAAGGTAAAAGCAAAAACGAACGCCAGGCTCAATGTAGCCATCCTCCTTGACGCCGGCTGTCTTATCTTTCTTTGTACGGAAATAAATCCTCCCGGCATTTACAAGGCTTCCAAACTTCTGGCTGCTGTTGGGCAGAAACATGGCATCATTTTGGAAAGGAAACCGAGACTACGGAAAAAATACAGACGGCCCGAACTAAGCACTGATCGACTGTATCAGCCTGGCGTGCTTCACTCGCAAATGATGAGTCTAGCTGTGCCACAGCTTGTGGCAATGATCCATCTACTATAGTAGTGCTGCCTGAGCGGGCTGAGGACGAAGACAATCCTTCGATCCACTATGGCCTCATCGCTTTAGCGAATAGGTTAATGAAGGACGCTTGGATTCGAGATGCGCTTGCAAAGAAGAATGACGTTCTCTGCTTCGAAATGGAAGCCGCTGGTTTGATGAACCACTTTCCCTGTCTGGTCATTCGTGGCATCTGCGACTATTCCGACACGCACAAGAACAAAAAATGGCAAGGCTATGCAGCGATGACAGCTGCGGCATATGCAAAAGACTTACTATACAAGATCGCACCAAGCAGAGTAGAGAACGAGAAGAGGCTCAGTGAGCTTATTCAGATTAGAACCTGGCTAGCACCGCCCGACCCTGCCATGAAGCGCCAGCTGCTTCAGAGTGGGGTTCAGACTTGTGCAGAAGGGTGCCTGTTCGGCGCTAGGGGGCCAGTAACTGGTGCCCCCCTCCCTTGTGAGGGGCCTGTAGCATCAGGGCACGATAGGCATAAGGCAATGAGTTAGTTATCTAGGCTATTGACAATTAAAGCTCTTCATCATCATCATCCTCTTCATCGTCATCGCCCTCGTCCTCTTCATCGTCATTGTCCTCCTCATCGTCCTCTCCATCATCTGCCATATGGGCCCGAACTACAAGTTCTCTAGAAAATGTAGCTATCTCGTTCCAGTGCCAAAGTTCAGGCGGCCATATAGCAAGAATTCCACACAGTTGGCCTATATAATTGGCGAAAATCACAGAGAAATGCTCACAGCGAAGGTCAAGGCTGAACTCCACTGAACCGTAACTTTCAGGGATATCAACTAGGATACTTCGAATAGCTAGCTGAGGGTCCTCTATAATCTCATCGCTGCTAGATAGAGCATCAAATAGCCCATGCTCCGCTTCGACAATTTTTTTAAGCAAGTCGATCCGCTCATCCAAGTTTGCAGAGACTGGTTGGTCGATATTCTCGTCGAAACGCATCATTCGCTCTGGATGTATTAGGGGCTCTCTCATTAGATTATCTGTGTCACTCTCGGCTCTAGAGCAGTCCAGCCACGCGGCCTTGAAAAACCCCAGAGCTACAATTCTTGAAAGCGAACTGATGTTGTAAAAAAAGCGCTTAGCGACAAAGTAAACTGTAATGTTAGTAATGACCTTTGTGTGACCATACCGCTACTTACCAGTATCTCTAACCTTCAAGATCTTGATAATGCATAGACTGTTCTTGAAACAGACTTGCTGAAACTCCCCTATATTGCTCAGGCTGTTCAATTGAGCCAAGATATATAATGTATCATCACTGCAAAGAGGTGTCGATACAAACTCGGCCATGCGAGGCCAGCTATCAGATACATCATATCGAAGTATAAAGAGTTGACCGGACTTTCGTCTGAGCCCTTCCATCACTCTTTCGAGGGTCTGCAATGCCATCTCCATATCTCCTTTAAAAGCGTATAGGGTTTGGAGGCTCAACTCCGCGGTCAATCTATTGAAACTGCCCCGCAACACTTCTGAATCGTCAAGTCCTTGTGCTGCATCTCTGATCTGTCTTAGCATAGTCGTGGTAGTTTCGATATGTTCCCCTACTTCCGGCAGGACTGTTTGGTAATATTGGAACGATAAATCCTGTGGAACTTTCTGAATCAACGAGTTGTGAGACTGCGCGTCGGCAAACAACTCCTCCATCAAGAGATATAGGCCACTCCAGCGCGATAAAAACAACTTCATAAGCCTAGTCCCAATCCTATACTAAGTTAGAAAACAGGTCACATTTGGTTTCAGTTAACTTACTCCTCCTTATGATAGCAGTAGTAATCTGGCCAAAACAGATTACCCAGTTCTCTGAGGAGCGTTTGCATTGCGCTCGTGCCCAGTTCCAAGTTGTGAATCCGGCCGTCTATAGCAGCAAGAACGCTAGAATCATGAGCATGCCTGTTATTAGATAGCTCCTCAAGGAGTATTCTTTGGAATGAATTCATCGGATGTTCGCGTGTAGATCGCTCCATACCTAGAGAGTGTGTAACCAATTGAGGGAAGTAAGGGGGATGAGAGAGGATCAATCAGAGCAGGCACGGGAGGAGCCCTGGCTTTATTAAGAATAAACATATAAGTGGGTACCAGATGAATTATGGCGAAGATATTAATAGTTACATAAATTTATGGAAGCCACGCACAGTTGGTGCTTGTTCACTGGAGCACATCTAAGACGCTCAGTGTTGATTTACAAACTGTTATATTCAATATTATACCGGATCATGCCCAGCTCAATATCCAAATGTGTCAAGAAGTCCATGTTCATTCCCGACCCATAGTTCACTTCAGACCCGTTCAGCAGTTTATTCTGCTCACGGATGGCTTCATCTTTTCTGTCTGCAATAGCAATATCCGAGATAGTCGTATATACAGTCTGGAAATACTTTTCTTCTCTATAATTCGTATGTGCTACATCCCAGCGAAGTTGAAGTGCTAGCTGGGCAATTCTCGTGCTGCTCTTCTGCAAAATTAGGGCTGTTTGGACGTAACATGACCCTAATTTGTCGACAGCTTCACGGATGGATGAAAAATATCTGTAGATGGCGAATATCTCAGAAGTTTTGTCTTTATCCACTCGTCGAAGAAGCAGGTAGAAAAAGAGAAAGCAACCCACGTCCCGAAGAGTGCGAAACAAGTTTAACACTGCTGTGGTTCCAACTAGATTTTCGACAGTACCCATGAAATATTCTATAGCCTTTGATCTCAATTTTTTGACATTCTTAAGCTTGGTATTTATCAGGTCTGAAAGAGCCGCATCCTGGTCCGCAATACGGCTCTGGATGATGATCTGGTAGCCAATAATAACCACCACGGTACCACCTGTAATTGCTAAGGAGGTAGGCCAGTGGAAAATGCGGTTCAGAGACTGAAAAAGAATGACCGTATTTCGTAAAAACTTAGTGCCGGCATCAATCGTAATCTCTGGTTTGAATTTTCGTACTTTACCAAGGAGACTGTCGGCCGTGTTCGTTCGATCAGGCGGGCAAAGCTTCGCAGAGTCCATAAGAGCATCATGGATTGCTGTAGAAAATGATTCGCATCTTTCTGGGCGCTGAGTGATGAATTCCTTGATGTTGAGAATAATAGCCTTCTCCTGGTCACAGTTTGAGTCGGTTTGAGACTTGCAGTCATCAATCGGGGCGGTAAAGCAAATATACGCCAGAGAGGCATGCATTATTGCAGTTGTCGAAATGTATGGCTTGATAACATTTATAATAAGTTCCGGGAGCTCGTTGAATACAAAAAGGTACCCTTCTTGAAGGGAGAAAAGAATACCAATAAATGGTGCACCAATCGCTACCATGACGATACAAAGCTGGCAGCATAGAATGGCCACTGGGGCCTTGGAGAGTCTCCCCTGGTAGTTCGCTGACATGGTATTCCTGTGGTTTAATCTAGTAATAGGTAGAAAGAGGCGGCAAAAGTGCACTTTCAATGCATTCATAGGAATTTGACATAAGAACTAAGTCTATGTGGGATTGGCGAAATACGAGGCGGTGTCGAGGCTTGGCTTGATCGGTGAGAATTCGCTGAGACAAATCGCTGAGAAAATCGCTGAGACAAATCGCTGAGACAAATCGCTGAGACAAATCGCTGAGACAAATCGCTGAGACAAATCGCTGAGACAAATCGCTTACGGACGCTGATAGGCGGGAGGGGACCCGAGCTTTAGCACCTACTTCCGAGATCTGGTTGGCATTGACCATTCTTCTACACCTCAATATGAAACCCTATCCAGCGACCGGACCCTACTCACGTCTCAATGTGGAACGCCGTCCAGCGACGAGAGTCCATTGACATCTCAATGCGCAACATCGCATGCATGCCAATTCGAAACACCCTCCAGCAACCAGGGCCTAACCGAAGATGTTATCGAACTAAAGATAGGTTCTGGGCACATCTCACAGAGCTCGTTGAGGGAACATGTAAACACGTTGCAATGTAGTCCCGGAGTTAGTTCCCCAGACGCACCCCCACCGCAAACTTATTATATACCCAGACAGCTACATGATGATACAGACTCGGTTTGCACAGATGTGGCAAGACGGGATGTTGACGTGTTCCCTGGGGCGGACACCCTCCAAGACTTGGAGAACTCGCCCCTCAGTGTTCTGTCATCAGTAGCTACTAATTTAGCTCAAGAAATTCCAAGCGTTTCCAAGGACACGACGCAGATAGCACAACTACCAAGTATATATGGACGCCCCCCACCGAGTGGTCATGATCAACAGCAGTCTGAAGAAGACGAATCTCCGGACAAGATCCAAGACATGGTTAGACAGATGGCATATGAGCGCCAAGTATATCTCCAACCGACAGCAAATTTCACGGCAAGAGAATTAGATGTGCCAAGCCAGGCGCAAGAGTTTCTTGACAGTTATGAGGCTGAGGCTGAGTTCCAAACCAACTTAGACATGCTCATAGGTCATTTATCTCCTGGGGTCTACCTTCTATAGATTCAGTAGATAGCTTTTTAAAGCTCAGTATAATTATTAGGAATAAAATATCATCTCCAGTCGCTTTTATTGCCTCGTCCTCTGGCAGTCGATAGCCCAAGTCGGGGCACCACCCTAACCCCTCTTTGACGACGTTGAATCCTTTATCAACAATATCAACTTTGCTGACACCCCCATCAATTGGAATATAGATGGTTCTTGTCCCCAGAGGAGTTGTAATTGAAGACCCAGATTTCAATTTGAAGAGACCCCGATCATATTTTGCCAACCGTATTTCCTTCCATGTCTTTATATCATCCCTCTTTTTAGTGAGTTAGCCTCTGAGAATAAAATAAAACTGATGCACATACATGATCCTTCATTGTCTGGATGAATAGAAGGTTGTGAGAGCTATCGTCACGAGCGTCCCATTCAAAAACAGAACCTTTTGCTCCCACTTCTACCCCCTCGCTGTTGATGCGCCTACGTAGCGGAGTCTCGGCGCCAAGGTCATCTTTGACGTCGGCAGCAAGTTTTCGGACAGAATCGGAGAGCTTAAACCTGTAATCCATCTATAGCATCGATTTTAATAACAGTTGCGAAGTTCAGAACAGCTTCCAGACCCTTAGTCACAGCATCTGTCTTCTTTATGATCGCGCGGCTTTGAGGAATTGACGTAAGCCATCGTGAGCTTCTAGAGAGTGTAGTCAGAAAAGGGAAAAAAAAAAACTAGTCGTTCCTGCTACGGAATTTGTAGAGTTGCTATCATATATCTCCAAGCTTGAACACATGTCTACGTGATGAATCGCATGGCGACATACTTGATCGTATGGCTGGGAGATTGATCGCATGTCTATGGGTGTGGTTACATGTCGATAGGTTTGGTAGCATGTCGATAGATCTGGTAGCATGTCGATAAGTTTGGTAGCATGTCGATAGGTTTGGTAGCATGTCGATAAATTTGATAGCATGTCGATAAATTTGATAGCATGTCGATAGGTCCGATCGCATGTCTATAGGCTTGAATGCATGTCTACATGTTTTCTGTTTATAATTTATTGATCTCATAAATTCTGCAGATGAAAAACGCTTCCCGCCCCCCGGAAGATTATGTACCTCTCTTGGCCCTTTTCCGAGCTCGACCAGAGGTCTTAGTACCTCGAGTTGACGGGCCATTTCTCTTCTGGCTAGAAGCTTGAACGCCGTCCCTATCAGTGGGCTTCGCGCCACCAGCTCCGACTGAACCATTTTCGACTTCACCATCTCCTGTCTCAGCATCTCCGGTGTCAATCGCTTCACCTTCGCCACTTTCGGTCGGGTCACTTTCGGCGCCGCCATCTCCAACTTCAGCATCTCTGGTGCCATCCGCTTCAGCCTGTCCATCCTTCGCCCCAAGATCGTTCGCCTCTTCCCCTTCAACTTCGCTACTGTCGACTGGATCATCTTCGCTTAGGCCGCCTTCGACTGGACCACCCCCGACTGGACCATCTTCAGCATGACCATCTCCAATGTTACCCACTTCAACCTCACCACCCTTCGTCCTAACATCTCCAGTTACACCAGCTTCAGCATCACTATCTACATCATCAGTATCGTCTTCTTCATGGTCACCGCACGCTTCTCCTGTTACGCGACGAGAGTTCCGCTTTTTCCAATACAAGAGCTGTTCTTGGCGAAATGGACTCTTAAACTCAACCTTACACGTAGCTTCTTCACCTTTGTCGGTTCTCATCTTTGCCTGTACATTCATGATGCCCAGTTTTTCAATACCGATAATCACTATGATCATAGTCCCGGATGGGGGACAACCGAGGTCCGTAATAGAGAACTAGGCAACTTCAGTCGCTCTCTCAGCATTCGTAGAGTCTCCTTCTATAACAGAGAACTCAATAACGTCCTTAGTTTCCTCATAAGTGAAAAGGTTTCTCGTGAAACCACCCGGAAGGTGTACGGGTTACTTTACGATAATCTGCAAATGACCGCTACAGCACTATATCCCGATAATTTTTAGGAGGCTTAACATAATAAAAAGAAGAGGATCAGATGTAACTCATGACGCACCCAAGGCAACAGCTTTACCAGCGACTACTTCCTCGACAGTAGCTTTGAGGCAGGCCTTCTTAGCTTATCAACGCCGAGTCTCTTACCGATCGTCTTATTAGTTACCCTTAGTGAGAAAATGGCCCCTCGACTGGCCCCTGAAAAGAACAAGCAAACTTAGACCGTGCTGCTTAATAGTGACTCGATTAGTAAAATTGCCGCATCCATTCCTTGTACCGAACGTGCCGTGTATCGAACGCAGGCAACCATCCGACGACTTGGCTCCGTGACAACCTCCACGAACCTCGTCGACCCTGATCTAAAAATAAAGCCCCTCATGCTTGACGTCAAGGTTGCCGATATGCTCTGGCGTGAGATGGCTGTTTTCTTGTTCGAGCAGTTTGACGTGGAGGTATCCGTCACGCGCATCAGCCGAGCCCTCCAAAGGATGTATTGGACCCATAAGAATACACTCCGCGTAGCCAGACGGCGCAATCCACAGCTACAACACTATTGCCACTATAGACTTAAGTTAGGGGGGTATCAATCATACCATTTGATCTTTATTGATGAACCTGGCTTGGATAAGAGCATCGGCGTTCGGCGAAAGGGGTCGGGTTCCTCCAGTACAAGTAACTCGGTTTCAACGCGAGGAAAGATACCAGGTTCTAGTGCTGCTGTTCGCCCC